TTTCGAAAAATTCCAAAAAAAAAAGTTTTCTTTGCTGCTGCAATGTTACTAAACAATCATTCGTACAAACTAGTCTGTAAATTCATGAACAAAAAAGTGGATTTAAGGGAAAACTGGATTTTTGGAGAGAACCCGGCATTTTTACGCGTTTTTGCTGTGCAGAGCTGCAGCGCTGCAACAAGCAGCAAAAACGCTTATTGTGACGATCCTGTGTGTGTGTTTATGTTTGTGTGCCTGTGTGTGTTTGTGTGTTCGTGCACCCGGAAATTTCTATTCAGCAACCAGGCGAGCAATAGTGCCGAAATCTTGCCAGTGTGTTCCTGGCCAAGTGCGACTCGGGAAAGTGACATCAACTCTTGCGCACGTTTATGACTCGCTTAAGGACAAATGAAAATTTTGATGGGAAAATTGCCAAGCAAAGAACGAGAAAAGCGAGAATGCTGAAATTTTAAGGGAGTGCTGCTTACTCACCTTCGACTAAGAGATTTAAAATTCAGCTCCCATGTACGCTTGGTTTTCATGAATGGGCACGTGAAAATTTTGGCAGGTAGTTGTTGGGCGACGAAAAAAGCTAGGAAGCTTCAAGGGAACGTGCAACCAAATTATTTCAGATTCATTTCCCTGATGCGACTAAGGACACGTGAAATTCTGAGGTGAAAATTGCTAAATCAGGAACCAGAAAAGCTAGAAAGTCGAAATTTTCAGAAGGTGTTCCCTGTCCAAACACAGCTTAAAGACTATTTTGAATTCAGTTCCCAAGTATGCATAGTTCTCAAGTATAGACAAGTGAAACTTTTAGTGGGAAAATTTGTTATTGAACAGCTTAGTCATTTTCAGTGAGCAACCGAAGATTTTTTTCTTCACGCAAAATTTGATAATCAGTACATAAACTAAATAAACAATCATTCTTACCGATAAAGACTTGATTGCTTCAAGTTGAGTGCAAAAAGGATGATGGTACCAGCAAGCCTGGTGCGGTCCAATCTAGGGTTTTTTTTGTTCTAGTCATATGCCTCACCGCATATATTGTAGAACCCCATCACAATTGATTTAACTCACAGGCAATCTTACCTCCTTTCGGTCTCAATAAAACAGATTGCATGTTGCCTCGAAGTACGTTACCGTAACCAGTGTTTATTGCGTCATGTTATCAGGCATTTTGCAAACGGTTGTAAGGCCGAGTTTGGTAGAATCCTTCTCAATAACGTGAAACTTCTACTTTCTACAAGAGAAAAAGTGTACGGTAACTCAGGGCACGAAAATTTTCTCTCCCTCTTCATCTCCTTCACATTCCATTCAGCATTTCAAAATCACTCAGAATACATCCATTATAGTAGATTTTTCCTGGGCCTCAATTCATATACCTTATTGGTGACCAAACGGCAATGAGCCGATCGATTGCCAGAAAAAGAATCGCGGTGCAAGCCATGTTATATGAAATTGTATACAGGATAATCGAGTGAAAGCATGTGTTGCGCGGCTTCAGCGATTTACCCGAAAGTATTTCGATCGCGTTCTTTGTTTCATGTATTTCACTTATCTGCAGTACAGTGGATGAAATAATACCAGCTATTTAAATTTATATTTCTATTATTCATTTTATTTCAACTAATTATTTAATTGTACTGAGAAACTTGCTTACGAGGAAGGAGAAGGTGGTGATGTCTCGCTTCACCGGAAGCGTATTAATAAGTTTCAATTCTTATCAAAAATCAGTGGTGTTTTGACTTTCATAGCGAAAATTTAACGAATATATAAAACCTAAAAATTAACACGTCGAATACGAAGGTAATACAAAATGCCAGTATGCTCCATGGCCGGATAACAGATAGACAGTGTTGATTTGGAAAAAGTTGACTGCTACATCTCCAGACGGAAATTGCGGCACACATCTACATATCGGCAAGGGGGTGTAGCAGTCAACCCCCTTGCCGATTTGTAGATGTGTGCCGCAATTTCCGTCTGGAGATGTAGGGAGTGCGTTGAAAAGTTGGAAAGATTGTTGCTTACTGAATGAAACTAATATTTCCCAACATGATCAATCAAAGGTTTCTCATTTTCCCTTCATTTAGAAAATCGTTTGGTGATGTCATTGGTGTGCTATTTCACCACATGGCAGCGTCAACTTTTAGTATCGGTAAGTGCAGTTTAGGTGATGGCGAAGGTTGATTTCGTATACACTTAGTGGCATTCTAGTTAATAGCAATGTGCTTTTCAGCGCTGTCCAAGTTTCTCAGTAGAATTACATAATTAGTGGAAACAAAATGAATAATAGGAAATTCAGTTTCCTGGATCTGATGATATCCATTTATTTGAAAACGAGAAACTTGCCAAATCAAAAAAAGCAATTAGTGCAAGCAATAATCCGCTGCGATTTCGC